GAGAGCAGGGCATCAGAGGGCTGGGAGAGCAGGGCATCAGAGGGCTGGGAGAGCAGGGCATCAGCACCAGCTCTGGGCTGGCTAACCCTTTACACCCCCCCTCATGCAGGTGTCACTGAATCCCCCTTGTTTCAGCTTTTCACTGTGACCCTCACTGAAAGCTGAAAAGAACAAAGAAAGTACTTTCTCCATCATTATTTTCCCCCTCTTCCATTTTGCTCAAAATAGACTTTGAAATTAAAATTTTGTTGTTTGTGTTGAAGCCTCACCAGTCATGCCAACACTGTTGAAAAAAAAGGTCTGTGTGTGACTTCTGCAAGATCAGCAAAGGACTTGCCCCTCCAGTTTCTAAAGCCCATATGAGCAACTCTAATTAGGAAACATATGACAAAGGGAATACCCCATATTTTCTATAAGAAGTGGGTCAAATTGTGAATTTCCTGTTACTCATTTTTTAGCATTTTCAAACACAATAAAGTAGATTTTTTTTTTTTAAATTCCAGTGAATGCTGAAAGGAAATGAAATTACAAACACTGCAGGTAAATTTTTCCTTTTTAACAACAGTATCTAACCTGTTCCCTCCTCGCTCACTGAAGCTTCACTGTGTTACAGTTACATCAACTGTTTAGAGCTGAACAACTGCTCTAGATATCAGTATTACTGGCAAAAGACTGTCTTGTTCAAAAATCCTTTCAGAAGTTCATTTCCTTGGTGAGTAAAGATTTCCAATGCAATATGCAAGAACTTAAAAAAAAGTACCACTGACAAAATATTAAAGAACAAAATTAATCTAGAAACAGGTGTCCAAAGACAGGTCTTTTCCTCTACTGCCTAATTAGAGCAAATGAGGCAACAGCCCAGCATTTCCTCAAAACTTATGAGATTTAAACAGAAGTTCTCAAACAGAGAATCTCATAAAGTTCCATAATGAAACACTGTATTTCCACCATTTTCAATTTAATTAGAAAGTCAGTAATTTATAGTAATTTAATATAAAATAATTCTTCAATACATGAGATGAACAGATTTAGTAAGTTAAAACTCTATCCTTATAAATTGCATTTTATTATTAAAACTGGTACGTCCCATTATTTTTATTACAGAAGATTAAATTTAAAAAAATTAAACACTTTCTTCTTAAATGAGCAACTCTAATTAGGAAAAATATGATAAAGGAAATACCTGTTTCTCCCCACAAGGCATCAGTGTCATTGATATCCATGTCATGGTCCTTTTCTACTGTCAGGATGTAGTGAACCACCTACAAAACCAGGGAGCCACAAAAACATCAGCTGTCACTTGCAAGATACAGCAAAGGATAAAAGATGTAAAACAAATGAGAGCCCTTCTCTCTCAATGTCAGTAATCAAGAAAACCAGTAGGATTTTAGTTCAGTAGGATTTTATATGACTCCAAGGTGAGTGAATGTTATTGAAAACAGTTCAAAAAAAGACCAGTGCCCTTCTGTGAATTGGTGGTTTTGCATGATTATGATTTACTGAGTCTTGTGTGACCTACATATACCAGAATAATCAAAACAGTGCCAAAAACAAAGCATTCCTGTTCAGTGAGGAAATTCCCCATCGTCTAAGACAAAGAATGAAAAAGAGAATATTTGTATATGTCTTGCAAAATGGTGATTCCTTGGTTTTTCCTTTCACATTGTTTGTATCTTACCTGTTTCTCTAAATTTCTTCCCAGAATGGTTTCAACATACATTGACAAATGGTAATTGTTAAAGCTGAAATGAGCTATAAATTAAGTTCTGCTGTGTTACTATTTTATTAAGGAAATTACGTTTTGAAACCACCTGCTAAAAGACTATTAAATTAAAACCTCTTCCAATGGCTGTTTTAAACAGATTTTCTAACAGGGCACATGGTCACTGAGGCTGCAGGTGAGGGAGGAGAATCACACTAAGAGAAGTTTGGGATGCTACAGGTAAAGAAAGGGATCTGGGTATTTTCAGGCTGTCTGAAAACTGTTGTATACAATGTATGGAAAATCCTAGAATTTTAAATGCTAGAACATAATTTATTTAAAATTCATGAAACACACAGGTCCTTTTTTCTAGCTAAGAAGAATTGAGCTTCTTAATGTCTTAAGAATAGAGAACCATGGACATTTTCTGGTAAGTACGATTAATGTCATCTGTTTTGCTGATATTGAGGAGCTGGTTTCATTTAATCACTGGATAACAAGCAAGAACTTTTACAAGAGTGAAGGAATTATCCGTTAATCCCAGTTAAAATACAAACTTGAGGATTCTGAACTGTGGTTAAGACAGCAATGGCTTATATATCATATCATAAATTGACTTCATGTAGGCATTTCTGTATGTTAATCATCTAAATAACTTTAAGGATCAGATTCTTGATCTTACAGTAATTAAAAAACAGATTTTAAAGAAGTAAATATTGAAATGGCTTTATTGAACAGATTTTGTTTCCATTTTTGGCACACCACTTCATACATGACAGGAGATCCCCTCAGTCTAGTGTGATCTTTATTCAAGTACCTTTACTTACCCATTACTTTCATATCAAGGTTACAATTTATTTTCTCAATGAACAGACAACATACTTGGATTACCTAAATATCTAAAGCATTTTGAGTATTTGTTATGTGGTTACTTTTAGTGTTCCTTCCCAAATTTCTATCTGAAGTGACATTAAGGTCAAGTCCATAACTTGACATGCAGATCAGGTATAAGTTAAGCATGTGCAACTATATGCAATGTAAAATTTGGTGTACTATGAAAAAAGTGGCAGTGCCCCACGTGTGATCCTCACCCCCCTGGCAGTGCCCTGTGTGTGATCCTCACCCC